GAAAAATTTAATTGAGGTCCCAATGAGATACTGCCCCTCCCATAACACCTAAGGCTTATAAAATGATTATACAACCTTTTCTCCTACATTTCCTTGGCTACAGTACATTTATTTTCCAGCACTTCACCCTGACCTCTAAGTATGAGTCCAAGACCTCCCTTATCCTGTTCACCTGACCAGTTTGGCTCTGGCTGTTTGTACTGTCCAAAACATTCTCTACTTCTGCCTCTTCAGATGTGCAAAACACAGCAAGTACCAAGGACACAAGGCAGATGTTGCTCACAAGCACCCAGTCTTATCTTGAGGCAACTCTCCCCTCTCTAAAATCTTTCAAATTGGCATTGCACTGTCATTCTGAAGCTAGTCACAGTATAGTTAAACAGCAGTTTCTCCTAGCCAAACATCTAATAATAGGTTTCATAAGCCAGGGTGAGCATAAACTAACACCAAAGCTGCAGATTGATTGTCCCTGGATGCTCTATTTATCCACTAACGATCCCTCAGCAGTGCAAACATGGCACTCCCCCATCAATGTGACTTACTCAGAGCTGCAGCAGCCACTGTTACACAGGAAATAGGGTTCAACCCATTTGGTTCTTGTTGGCCCCTACTGAGATTGAGAAAAATGAGGCCCATTTAGTGTCTACTACCTAGTAGTTATTGTGAGCTAGCCCCTGTCCATGTGAACTGGACTGAAATCCTAACTCTTTTCACAGGGCACAAACATTTGTCAGATAATAACTACTTTTGGTCACTACTGGACAGATTTGAATCAAAACAGCTCTGCATCCAACATGCTGGGATCTTAAAAATCTAATCACTTATTTTGCTGCTTAAATGGGAGCTGAGCTCTTTAGAAAATCTGGCTCAACAATTTAAGGCTATGTCTGGATTACAGTTTATTTTGGCAGAAATTATATAGCTCAAGGGTGCAAATAAGCCACCCTTCTGAGTGACATAAACTACAATTCTATAAGCGTGTGTATGGACAGAGCTATGTCAGCGGGAGAGCTTCTCCCACCAACACAGCTTCTGTTGCTTGTGGAGGTGGTTTTATCTTGCCAAGAGGAGAGCGCTCTCCTGTTGGCATAGGGTGTTATCATCAGACATGCTGCAGTGGCATAGCTGCATCAGTACAGCTGTATTACAGCAGTGCACATGTTGAACTGGTTATCCAAAGGCTCTATATTTCATTCACACTGCTCAAGAAGCAGAGATTACCCATGCCTGCTGATAGTGGGGAGGGAAGGGCAGAGTGAAGGCAGGTAACTTTAGCAGTGTTACTGAGCATGCTAAATCTGGGGGCTTAGGACAAGCAGCAAATCGAGGCAGGGGGTGCACATGTTCTGCATATCCCCACCCCGCATTGCCTCTCTCACAAAGCCATCTAATCCTCTTAAAATATTTTCAAAAAACTAATTCAGAGGATCCAAGCCCTTGGTTGGTGGATTTGCAGGATAGATAATTTATTTTATGCATTGTCTTTATGAAACAATTACACTGGCTTTGCTAAGTAAACCCAGAGCCTTTGGAAAAGGCAGTCAATTGATTCCCCAATGCAAGCTTCAAGATTCAATGGGCAAGCTTTCTAACCTTCATTGGCCTCAAACTGTTTTTCTGTGCCTGCTGCAGGAAACAATATGTCCTCCTTCAGGTTGTAGGAAAGATAATGTTTACACGTTGGGACTGGTGGAGTACCGTATTTTCCGGTGTATAAGGCTACTGGGCGTATAAGACGACCCCCTAATTTTTTAGTTAAAGGATAGGTTTTCGTCTTATACCCCAGTGCCCCTCCGCCTCCCCGGCTTTGCTCCCGGTGTCCCTGGTCTGCTGGAGACGGTCCCCAGCAGACCAGAGGCA